CCCGTGGCGGGCCACAGCCGCTCCAGGCCCTGCCTTCACCGTGGTCCGGGAACTGGACTCGCCCCACCTCTCCCCTACACTAGAGCCTCCCTGTCCCCACCTGGCCTCCACCATGTCCTCCAAAGGGCCACTTGCCACCACGGCCCAGAGAAAGGAAGGCCCCTGCACGCCCAGTGAGCAAGCTCTTTGCTGCCAGCGCCCCTGCCTCCAAACGCAGTTCCAGGGGCTGCAGGGAGACCTGGGTCCGCAGGCCGCCCCTGTGAACAAGGGGGGGAAGCGGGGCTCCTGCCGCCCACTCGGGCAGGTCCCCCGGCTGCCTTACAGCCCCCGGCCGTCCGGTGCGAAGGGCCCGGGGACCCTGCCACTGCAAACAAGCCGCAAGTAACACTCAGTCTCTGCGGAGCTGTGGATTGTTTTAACTATAAAGTTATTTATTTTCATTTCCAGTAGGGAAGTTGTATTAGTTTCCTGTAGCTGCTACAAGAAAGTACAACAAACCAGGGGCTAAAAACAACAGAAATGTTTTCTCTCCCAGGCTGGAGCCAGACTCTGCAGCCCAGGTGTGGGCGGCCAGGCTCCCTCTGACGCCCCAGGGCAGGGTCCTTCCCGCCTCTTGCAGCCCCTGGGGGCGCCGGGCGCTCCTTGGCTCCCGGCTGCATTGCCCCCACCTCTGCCTCCGCGGCCACCCTGCCGGCTGCCCTGCGTCTGGAGCCTCCCTCCCCTCTCTCTGAGGAGGGCGCCGATCGCTGGATTTGGGATGAACCCTAAATTTAGGATGAACCCTAAACCCAGCATGATTTCATCCCAAGGGCCTTAACCAATTACATCTGGAAAGACCCTATTTCCAAATGAGATCACAGACTGAGGCTCTGGACACATTTGGAGGGGACGTCACTCAGCCCACTACGGCGGCCACCTGTGTTGGTCCTGACATCACAGTCGTCAGGAAATGTGGGGGTCGGAGGTGCGGCATCATCTGACCCTGCAGGGCTGCGTCCCGGGTCTGGGGTCGCTCACCAGGCTCTGCGTTCTCTGCCCTGGGGAGAGGCTCTTTCTCTGACTTTTCTGCCCAGGGCAGGCAGGGGAGAAGCCCTGGCACCAGGCCTGGCCAGCTCCCCACTGCCACGGCCACGCCTCAGGCCCACTTCTCCGGGCCCCACATCCCACAATCCAGCCACTTCCCCCTCATTCTCTCCCCTGCGGCCCAGACCTCAAACCTGATCTTCCCCTCACCAAACCTGTTCTTCTTGGGGTCCCCCACCTGGGGGAGGGTCCTACCAGCTGCCCAGGGAGGGAAGCCAGGAGAGCCCAGGGCCCATCCCACTCCCCTTCTCCCTGCCCCATCGCTGCCACCTTCCAGGGCCCCAGGTCACCCGTCCCCACCGCAGCCTGCATCCGGGGCTACGCCACCCCACCCGCACAACCACGGCAGCCTCCTCTCGGGCCCCTGCGCCCACTCCAGCTGCCGCCACCTTCCACAGCTGCTGGGTCACCGGTAACCCTGGAGAGCGCCCTTCAGAATGCTGACCGGCCACGCCCTGGCTCAGGATCCACCCCTGCGCTCCATCCAGGGGTCCCTCCGCCTGGGGGCCTGTCCCTCAGCATCCGCCCAGCCCCTCGGACCCGGTCTGCAGGGCAGCTGGGGGACCAATGGGCTGGTGTGGGAGGCCCTGCACGTGCGCAGTAGGTAT